AGAGTCTACCTTGATTAAGGAGGTTTGTTTTTTATTTAAAACGTTGGTGATATAACAGAAAATAGCTTAATTCTGAAACGATTTGAGTTTAGAACTGAATTGATATTTTTACTTTCATGATACATTTTATGTAATTGACTCTAGGCTAGGTGATCCCACACTACGTCTTTACTTTATACTTATTATATCAACACTCACTACACTTGTAAGGTTTCAGGGCACACACACCCTCACGATCCCGTCACTAAAATCGTAATGGGCAGACAGTAATCGAATTATTCTATCTGGATAAATGCATTTTTGGCTTTTATGACTCCTCCTATTTCGAGAAATCAAGCGTGACCTGCCAAACACTGGCTTTTATACAGGTTAAGTATTAATATACTGGGGGACATGCGAACCTTTTTTGGCACCACGGGAGCCACTTTTAGCAGCTCCTTATACTTTCAGTCTCGCATTGTAAAATCTGCATGTCTAGTCAAACACAATCATTTTGCAATTCCTTCGTACACCATTGATTTTTGTCTCAGGTTTATATGTATTTATGGTCCTCCACGTATCAGAGAACAAATTAAACATTTATTTTAATAAGCACGTGAACGACGGCCTCGTGGCATAAAAAACACACTCATGTTTAAATAAATCGTAACTCATTGTTACTGGAAAAAAATAATACTTGACCTTATAGGAAATACGCCCAGGGGGAAAGAAAATTTACAAAGAAATAACTCGACGCTTCTTCAATTATGAAAAATTCGATTCTGGAATTAAGAAAAAACATAGTTTCGTTCCTGGAGTGGAACTCCACTGCAGAAAAGTCATTATTTTATTATTATTTTTACTTTATTTACTGAGATTAGAAAAATGTAATTACGTATGTGATAATATTCGATCAATTTTAATTCAAAAAATAGTTCCCCGAAAATGGTTTCAGCAAGGAAGGGGCTTTATAGTGTTACACGAAAGACAATGTCAGTCAAGTATTTTATTTATTCAACTGTAACGTACAAGTTGTACGTTAATAGTGATAATTCAGAAATGAAACTTAACAGTTACTTGTTCAACTTTCTCTTATCTACAACATATCTCAAAAGTGGCTCACTAACCAACTCAATAATCAATAGATATCAGACTCATTAACTAATCAACTTGTTTTAGTATTTACGCATTTTACAAGCCAGATTAACAATGTAATGTTTAAAAATTTAGTAGGTCTAATACTAGTGTCTTACGAAGAGTAAAATTGTAATTATTCTTCGCCATAACAATTGTTGTATCAAATGGCTTGTATAAACTGTGTTCCAAGCACTGTGGTATTTGTTGTATCTCAGTTGAACTGAAGAGTTTTGGATTGAGCGAAACGCGTCGTCGGCAATGAATATGACAAACATAGCGTGGTTGAAATACTATTATCATACCCTCTTCTAACTCTTGAAAATCCCTAAGGGACTATATTAAGAATGTAATGCCTAAAAATATAATAGGCCTAATACTAATGTCTTATGATAAGTAAAAACTAATCAACTTATTAAGTAACTGGCTTACTCATTAGCGAAATATCCAACAATCTTCCGATGTTTAAATATTGTTGCACTATCCCCCCCCCCCAAATCATTACGTCACGTCATTTCTAGAACTCAGAAACATTTTATAAGTCACACATTACCATGAAGTCATGATAAAACTGTCTATTTTCCAAATAATTTTTGTGTATTATTTCCATGGTTTATAATAGGAAAATGACATAGCCTCTTGTCCCTTATCATGAGATGACATAGCCTCTTGTCCCTTATCATGACTTGGTATTTCGTCATTAGGGAAACTTTCTTTGGGTAGAGGGTAGCGAATCCACTGGTAGCTGTAACTCAGTTAATTTTCTGGAAATGATCTAAAGAGGAACTTCGGGCTCTCCAGCAGGTTGATGTACTTCTGGTGAAGTCTTCACTGAAGTTAAGTAATTGGCTGTCCTCCCGTCAATCTTCCAAAGACAATCACAAGGGGTAATTTTTTGTTTGGACCAGTTGCACATCGGGTAAACTGTCTTCTTTACTTGATATAACCATCCTTGTTGTCACTGAAACTCCAACCTCTGTCAAAGCTATTTTTGTATAGTTCATGTAATTTTTTGACCATAGACTGTAAAGCTATTTGTAGGTAGTCAGTTCCCAATATTCACTCTTCCTTGATGTCAAATACCCACACACCATGTGGTGTAAAGAAGTTTCCAACAGTGATGTTTACTTGCAACTGTCTCTTGCTCGAAGTTTAATGTCGTTTTTTGTTTTTGTTTCTGAAGGACTATTAAAGAAATTTTTCGTAATTATCCGAGTACTTTTTTACAAACGAATTAAGCTAACTCTTGTCCTAAACAATCTTATAAGAAAATATATTATTTTAAATAACTCGTGTACACAAGAAAGTTAATGATTTCCACCAGAATCAAAATAAATTAAACATAATACTTACGATTGATCTGTTGAAGTTTACTAACATGTATTTCAGTAGAAATGAAATTTAACATGTGTTCATAACACAACTGAAAATCTGAATAAGTCAGAACAAATAAATATTAACTAACGAACTAAAAACCCACACTCTTAACGAGGCTGTAATCTTAACACCCATTCAGATTAAACTTGTTTGTTTTAACGCTATATCCGCCTCGGGATCAAACCTCGAATTCTAACGTTATAGCACCTGAAGTTTACCGCTAAGCCACTGAGGA